TCTACATACCAACGTCAACGGCGTCGAGGACAAAAACGTCTATCTTGGTAGCACCCTATCCCCCAACACCCGAATCGAAGACGAGGTTGCTCGCCGTATCTCCAAAGCCAGCCAAGCCTTCGGACGGCTTCAAGCCTCGGTATGGAACTGTAGTGACTCACTCCGCGCGAAGGCTCACCGCTTCTAACGAGTGCACCTGCACTGATGGCGGCCTTTCGGGCAGCCAATGACATAAGACGAAAATGCACAACCCCAGGCGGCTGCGAGGAAGTGCGCATGAACCAGTCTGGGCAATCACCTCTCAAAGCCGACTCACACAGACTGCCCTAGGTGCTGTGACGATTCCTACGCTGACGCTATGGAACCGGTGCCCTAGCAGCCCGACTGCACTTCTTCGAGAGTCAACTTACTCCTGCTTATTCTCCACTTCCTTCTGTACAGAATAATTTATTCCTTACAATTGGCGTCTCATTATCTTTTTGCCGTACGGAACCGGACCTGAAGATCGCAGTTGCTAGGGTGGCATAGAACTATAGAGGGGTCCTCAGAAGGCCGACATGTACGGTAACCGCTTACTTGCACATTTTGAGTAGGGTGAATTTCACACAATCTTCCAATTTTTCGCGCGCCCGCCCTTAATCCAGTTGGGGTCGGCGATTATATTAAAAATGTACATCAAGACCTCGCCCAAGGTCAGCGAACACCCCCCCCCACATATATGCGCTCGCCGTTGGTCCAGTTAGGGTTAGTGATAATCTTAAAATGCACTTCAGTGACCTCGCCCAAGGTCAGCGAACGCCACCCAACTTACACACAAAATTTCCTTAACTTACATAATAATTGCGAACTGATCTGTTCCCCAATATGCCCCACCCATTCCGTACCCTAAAACCAGTTGCCCATATTGGAGTGGTGCGCGTTTCGCGGGCACGGTGGGGCCCCACGATAGCTTCTTAATGCTAGGGTTTAACTTACTTAACCTCCTGCGATAATGGTGGCCCCAATGTGATATGAACATGCAATCTTCGGTATCGCTATACGCTGACCTTCAGTATTATGGTAGACCTTTGCCATACTTGGATTCATTCACGAATTTCTCGTGCTTTCATTTATTCACAAATTTATAGACTGATTCGATTTGTTGCGCACTTCTGTAACTTGCATTTATCGCTTTTTGTTTAAGTTGTTGTACGAAGTGTTACTAGCAACACTTCAACTGGTTTGAATTACGTTATCAATAGCGGACGTCTTGCTCCTATTGTTTTTCTTCACTAGACGTTATGAAGAGTAGATTTCTTCATATCCAGGGTATCGGGTTCGGCTTGTCCCT